TTACACTCATCTATAAAACACATCCCTGTTAAACATATATTTAACACATGTTATACTCAACTATAAGATGCAACCCTGTTATACTCAACAATAAGACACAACCGTTTTATACTCAACTATGGGACACAGCTCTGTTATACTCAGCTATAAGACACAACCCTTTTACACATACATTTAAAAGACACAACACTGTTATAAATAAATTTAAGACACAACCCTGTTGTACATAAATTTAAGACACAAACCTGGTATACTCGACTATAAGACACAAACCTGTTCCAATGCTAAGACACAAACCTGGTATAGTTAACTATAAAACACAACTAAATTATACCCAGCCATAGAACAACACTGTTATGCTTCAATATGTGATAGAATCTTATAACAGCTAACTGCGAGACAATCCCTCTACAATTGAGTCTAAGGACAGCATTATTGTGTGAAAGGATTTTATCTGCTTGTATTCCCATGACTATGGTTTTGATTTAATTAAGACTGGAAAATTTTTACTATTTGTAATATTTTTTTTTGTAATTATTAAAAAACATTAATATACCTTGAGTGGCGACTTCGTTCAGTTCATCATACCATCATCATCATGTGCTTAGCCAATAAACAGAAAGGATTATGCATGACTATTTTACACAATCACCAGTGTCACAGATCAGGTCAGTGCAATTGTCCTCTACCATACAAATAAAAGCAGACGTGGTTAGTGCCTTGTGGGAGAGCGTAAACAGTTCGGAGGAGCAGATGGATCACCACAGTCTGGTGAGATTGATGCAGCAGGGAGTGACGAGACGTTCTGGCAGATGCTCGAGCTCAGAGGAAAGGCAAGACAGACGTTTAATCAGAATGCTACTGGCACCATTAGTATCGGAACTCTTCGCTGGCGGCTGAAGATGGGGACGGAGCGCTAATGGGAATGCCCCGAGTGCTGTGATGTTGGTTCTTGAATCAAATCAAATCATACAAACTAAATAAAAAAAATGTTAAAACAATAACAAATCCTGACCTGCACACTTCATGGCCACTGCACTTGCCATGCCACCTTGAGCTCGTGACAACCACCCCCCCCCCCCCCCACGCCCTTTCCCATCATACACCGCCCTAAAGGTGGTAAGTACAGGTAGTGAAGAGACTGCCTTTTTTTTCCTGATAATTCCCTAAACAATTACGGAAATGGTCTGATGTAAATTGTTATGTTGCAGGATCGACCACAGTCATTGTGTTAGAAAAAAAAATGGGTTGGGGGTGGTATAAAAAAAAATATTGTAATAAAATAAGCTTTTGTTTATAATAGAACAAGAAAAGACCCAGTTCCTTGTCTTCAAAAGTATTAGGCACACAGGGTTAAACATATATTTCATAGATCAGTCAGCACTCGGTGGGTGGTGTCGTCAACCTCATGCCTGCAGCTTTTACTTCCCATGAACTTTACCTGGTACCCATTTTAGGCTAGGTCGACCTGCAAGCTAAGGTCAATCCTAAAGCAAAAATTAGCCTCAGTGTGGATTCGAACCCAGGACCTTCAGGCCGGTAGCCGAGTGTCTAGCCACTAAACTACCGTGGCATCATAGGTTTACTTTAATCAACCTGTTGGATCGTTATCCATGAAACCTCTTGACATTATAGATGGAATCGAATTCAGCACCCTTGGCCTCTCTCAACATTGAGGTTTACTTTTAGAATGACGCAACTGATAGCTTATGGAAATTCTGAAAAGGATGTAATATCAAGAATGTAAAAGGTAGCCAAACATTTGCCATGCTCAATAATATATGCAAATCAACGGGACTGTATACAAAGCTCAGATTATAAAACACTTATCAATGGAAAATACAAGGAACTGTGGAAAGAATAAACTAACAGTAAACATCCACAAGACTCCATCTGCAGACTCAACAGAAGGAAGCATACGACAATTTTCCATCCACGAACAGGACACTGCAGGCTCAACTACCACATGCATAAAATAAAGATTGTACAGTCCCCGCAGTGTGCCTGTCAAACAGGACCACAAACACCTGAGCACATCCTGCAGACCTGCCCACTCTACCTACAGCTTCAAAAAGACACCTGGCCTCAGGAGCAAAGTGTGCAGAGCAAGCTATGGGGAACCATGAAGGACCTGCAGCTGACATGCGAGTTCATAGAGGCAACCAACCTGACCGTCTGGCCTGAGCATACTAAACCGAACCCAAAAAAGAAGAAAAAGATTATAAACCAATAACATTTTAGGAATCATTAGGTGCCTTGCCGACTGGCGTGGGCGATGATGCCTCTCCATAATCCACGATCTCCTGCGGCATGTATCAGTTCGTGTGCCGACACATGCAATGCAACAAGACTGTCAAGAATCTCTAACTCTCAATGGCAACAATATATTGCACAAGATGTTTTTCATTTTTTAAAATGCAATTTTTTTTTTAAATTATAGATAGCGTAATTCCGTTACACCCGCTCTCCGAAAAATAAGTATATAATTGACTTTGTTGTGGTTACCGATCCAACATGGCGACTAGCAGACGCTGTCCCTGTTGATCCACTGGTTTAAATTGGTTGATAGTTTAAGTTTTCAATTGTAAAAATGAGCTCCCACGTGTTTAACAAAGCTGATGCTGTTTTGACAAACGAAGAAGTAGTTTCTATTTGTACCGCACTGAAAGACGACCAACTAAAGGTGTTGTGTTTGCGAGCATGCACAATTCATGGGAAAGACCTCAAACGTATTCTTAAACTGGCTGGTTCTTGTAGTTCTCTTCAACAACTCACTTTAAATATCGGAATGGTGACTAACATGAAACATATTGAGCTTCTAGCTCGCTGTATAATTGCAAACAAATCACTCACAGGGCTTCAGTAAGTACGTTCGTACTTTTTTTCTTCTACCGCTACCTCATGCTCCTCCTCCTTCTTCTTCTTCTTCTTCTTCTTCTTCTTCTTCTTCTTCTTCTTCTTCTTCTTCTTCTTCTTCTTCTTCTTCTTTTTCTTCTTCTTCTTCTTCTTTTTCTGCTCCTTCTTCTCCTCCTCATCCCCTTCTTCTTCTTCTTCACCTTCTCCCCCTCTTTCTCCAGTTATGTCACCAAAGTTTTGGGGAAAGCTAAGGGCTTTTTATGCGCACTTTCTAACGTGTTGAATAAGTGGCTATCCTCCGAATAACGGTCCTAAATTATCGAGGCGGAAAATATACTCTAACAGTGCTTCAGTTACGTGTCAATTGCGCACTTCCATCGTCTTAAATTGCGCACTTCCGGCGACTTCTACCACCCCTGAGAGAACCCCCCACGCCGCTCACGTAGCGTGGATTGCGGGCTAAACTAGATGGCTGGGATTTACAAGCAGCAGCTACCACCTTTCCTGCAGCTTCTTTCATTTTATTTGCTCATGAGTCCTAGCCCTCGAGTTTAGCCCCAATCCACGCCACGTAAGCGGCATGGCAGATGTTCTCGGCAGTGGCAGAAGTCACCGGAAGTTCGCAATTCGGCGGTGGCATTATGGTCCCCGGAAGTGCGCAATTGACAAGTGACTGAGGCCCTGTTAGGGTATATTTTCCACCTTGATAATTTGGGACCGTTATTCAGAGGATAACCGAATAAGTCTTAATTTAAGGCATTTATTGATGGTGCCGTTCCATCTGTTGTGTGCTTGCATTAAACCATCTTACATTTATCTCCAGTCATCGCTTACGTATCATGTATTACAATCATGGCAATATTTACGCATGTGTAGCTTCACAGGTCGACATAGTTTTGGGAGCAACCACATTGTAAGGGTGGCATCATATAGCTAGTAATTAGTTACACAAGTCGGCGTCTGTGGCTTAGGCGTTGCGAACACCCTTTGTAATGTGGGGGTGCTGGATTTGATCCCAGTTGTGGGCCTTGCTTTGGTTTCGTCAGTGGTATCAAGAAGCCCACTGTCCAGAAAGCAGTGGCAAACTACTGGACGTTAATTTGCCTAGAAAAACCACAACAGCAAAAATATTATGCAATGCCATGTAAAGGATATGCAACTAACTTTAAGTTAATTACAAAAGTCGGCGTCTGTGGGTTACCCCTTGTGAATGCGCTTTTTAATGCTGGGTTTTTTCCCAGCTGTGAACGATTTGACTGTCCTTTTGTGTAGCAATGAGTTTAATAAATTAGTTGAATTGAGAACCAACATCTTAGCACTCAGAACATTCTCATAAGCACTCTGTCCCCATACTCAGCAGCCAGTGCAAAGTTCCAGTTCTGTTGGTACCCAGAACAGTATGATTGAACGTCCATCTTGCCTTTCTTCTGAGTGTTGAATATCGGCCAGAACTCCTGGTCACTTTCGAATGCACCAGTCTAAGCGCCACCCTGGCTGTTGCCAGGGGCCCTAATATAACCTTACGGTTTAAACGTGTTTCTGGTCTAATGGCTGAACGTGGGATTCCGGGACCTTTCTACGGGTGATCTTCATCCGCATGGTGGCACTTTGTTTCACCGGTTGTTTATTGCTCTGTGTAGTAGTAGTAGTACATTTTACCCCACAAGGACATCACACAATCGATAAACACCCGCTGAAACAAAATGTCACCATGCGGATGAGGATCACCCGTAGAAAGGTCCCGGAATCCCACGTTCAGCCATTAGACCATATTTCAGGCCCGGCTATATTGCGGCCCCTGGCAAGAGCCAGGATAGGGCTTCAAATGTCCTAAAATTTGCATCCCACAAGGAGATGACTAGATAATTGTTATATTTCTCTGTGTCTGACTGACTTTCTACTCCACTAGGACATCACACAAGTGATAAACACCCGATGACACAAAGTGCCACCATGTGGATGAGGATCGCCGTGAAGAGGTCCCAGAAACCGCGTTCAGACAATTGGCCATATTTATGGCCTGCCTATATTGTGGCCTCTGGCAAAAGCCAGGGTGGGGCTTCAAATAACAAAAAATTTTATTCTCTATAGACATTGAATAATACATTTAAAAAATGGACAAGCTGACAAAGATGCCAGCATTGTTTCTGTGTTCACGTTTGATATTTTTGGTTTTTCAGCATCCATGGCAGTGATCTCGGAGACGTGGGGATGAATATTCTTGGCCGAGCGTTGAGAAAGCATCCTGGGATTGTGTCCCTTGATGTTGGCGACTGCAAATTAAGTGACATGTCCATTGATGTCCTATATTCACTGCTACTGCCGGTTGAAAACAAACCTGGTAATGAGTTATCCAGTTATAAAATTCTGTCTTCACCTCGTCCAGTTAAATATGTGTTCACTTTGTTATTTTCCGTTTTGGTGCATGGCGTTATCTTCGGACAATGTGAATGTTATTTCTATAACATTAGTTAAAAGATGGACATGTAGCCAGATCTACTGGCCTCTTTAATACGATATAGTCGTCCCTATGTGGGATGCAATTTTTGGTTATTTGAAGCCCCACCCAGGCTTTTGCAGGAGGCCCTGAATATAGCCAGGCCATAAATACAGCTGAAAGGGGTTTCTGAGACCTCTCCACAGGTGATCCTCATCCGCACAGTGGCACTTTGTTTCTCCGGGTGTTTATCGCTTGTGTGATATCCTGGTGGGGTACAACTACATACACCTACCTCCAATACTATACTACATTGCTCTGTAGAGGTGAATAGGAGAAGAGGCAAACCAAGACAGACCTGGGTACAGAATTTGGCTGACTGGGCAGGCCTCAACCATGCAGACATCAAGTCTGTATTACATCTGACTGACAGAAGTAGCGGGAGCTGATCTAGTTCTTGGTGTAGCATTTAAGGAAGTCCCAGTTATAACTTCCTTGGAGGGTATCATGAAGAAGAAGACCATCCTAAAGTACACAGTAGACTGTATTCACCCCATGAAGGTTGTGATCATGAATGCTGCAAACGTTGAGAAACATCTGAAAGAGAGTATCAAGGTTGACTGCAAGACTGGCAACATTGAAAATAATGTTTGTCTGGAGTTGCAGGAAAAAATCAACCTGATGAATGTGGGTCTTTTCCCAAAGAAGCATCTCAAGTACCTGATCAAGAAGTACCTGAAACAGAACAACCTCCATGACTGGCTGAGAGTTACAATATCTTTCTTCGAAGTCAGAGTACATCTGCCTGAAAAATGTCTTCTGATGACATGCTGATCCACGGAATGTGTTTGTTAAATGCTTTGAATCCTACTTTTTCAGGTTTGACAGAGCTGACTCTCAGTGACAATCCTCGGATCAGTGCTTTGGGCTGGGCCCAGCTTGGGATGTGTCTGGCAAACTGTAGCTGCCTGCGCTGGCTGTTCCTCGACTACAACCCGCTGGGAGATTATGGTGCCAGCTGTGTGCTTGTGGCCCTGGCAGCTAGCCAGTCTGTGCAGGTGTTGGACTTGGAAGGCTGTGGGCTGACTGAGCATACTGGTCAGGTAGGTGCTCATGATGATCCTGGCTTGCTAGATTCCCTGTCAAGAAAATTGGGGCTTTTGAGCTGAAATGTTATCGAAAGATTCTTGAATACCACTGACAAAGAAGAGAGGAAACATTGACATTTTAAAAGATCTGAACATCAAGGAAAATTGGCTAATAAACAGCATCTTGTCTCGGAAGCTGAAATATTTTGGTCATATCAAGCGCATTCCAGATTGGAAAACATAATAGCAGAATGCAGGGTACCAGAAAGGAGGGGCAGGGGCCGACCAACATGAAGATGGGCACAGAATAAAAGTGACTTCTTGAATATGAAAGTACACGAGGTGGGAGAGCTGGTGAGAGACTGAGTTTCTTTTAGGCAGACCGGGATGAGAGTGACATTCTTCAAAGGGTCTTCTACATCATAATTATGAGAGTCACTGCCATCATTGCTGGGGTCTTAGAACTGGCATTTAAAGTATTTATTCAGGTTGTTTCCTATTTTTTCATTATCATCAATGCCTACTTTTTCTTCTTTTTCACCATCATCGTCCACCTCTTCTTCAGCATTCCAAATCTTTGAGATTCATTCCTGCAGATATTACCCACCTCCATTCATCACTGTGGTTGGCCTTTTCTTTCTTTTGTCTAACTGAAAACAGGTTGTAGACCAGTGTCGTGGTTTTCTATGTTTGTCTCAGGTGGCTTGTGTGATGGATTGGATTTGTTTATCTTTTTGCAGGTTTTAGCTACACCATTTATCCATCTCTTTTTTTCCTTTTCTTCCCCATTGAATTATCACCACTTTTTTTGTTGCCAGGCACACAAAAAATCCTATCTCTTACTGAGGATCAAACCAGGGTCTTCTGTTGAATGTTGAATTATGAATCAACATCAAGGCACTCGGGACACCCCCATAAGCACTTAATCCCCATCTTCAGCAGCAAGCGAAGAGTTAAAATTCCGATGGTACCAGTAACTGTCTGATTGTGTATCCGTCTCGCCTTTCCCCTGAGTGTCAAGCATCGGCCAGATCCCCCTGTAACTCCTTGCAGTACCATTCTCCTCCACACTTTTCACTCGCTCCTAAAGGGCCCTCACAACAAGTTCACCGCCAAGTGGTGCAGAACCAGCCAGTCTATCTGCCTACTCATTTCCCAACACTCTGGCATAACCGTGAGAAAATAAACTAGGGTCTTCTGCATGAGCCCAGCATTCTAACCATTTGACTAACCTCTCCTGTGCTATGAGGTTACCTTTTATAGCTAACATATGATATCGAATCTTGCAGGTGATGTTACATCTTGTGCAGAATCATCTTGGAGGTTTAAGCCGAGTGAACCTAAGCAATAACAGGATCCGAACCTCTACAATTGGGTCCATCAGGAAACATGTCAGCGAGAACCATTTTGATGATTCCTCCAGTGTCTCGACAATCAGTGTCGATGATCTCTTCTTAATGAATGAAACCAGAGTAAGTATCACATTCTTCTCCTTGTTCTTTCTCTTCAGAAATATTTGTTCATGGAAATCAGATGTCGGAGAAAGGCTGCAAGATTGACCAGAAGACATACAGTTAAGAATGAGGTCAGTAGGAAAAAGTTTGGCACGTAACCAATTCTAAGTTACTTACAAAGCCAGAAAATTAAATGATTGGCCTACTTAGAGAGAATGCCTTATAATGAGTGCCTCACCATACAAGGCATACAACAAATGAGGAAAGGAATGTACAGCAAGAGGTAGATCAAGAACAAAGGCAAAGATAACATGCTGAGGCAGCAATAAGAGCAAAGAACAGAACCTTGTATCTCCTTGGCACCAGAAGCAGTAAAGGACCAAGTGAAGAAGAAGAAGAAGAAGAAAAAGATCTCTGAGCATATACTCTTGGCTGGTGTGATGATGATTAATAATCTAAGGCAGTTGACTCTAATCTGTGGCGTGCCCCCCTCACCTCTCCCCAAGGAAAGAGAGGAAGGGGGTGGCATATGGAAGTTTCAAGGCCGGGGTGTTATGCAGTTTTGACATTGAGTCCATGTGTACGTGTAATAATCCAGATCTTCAGCTCTAAAAGTCATAAAAACATGCTGCTAGTTTGACATGGAGAAGAATCTCTATTGTGCCTTCTATCTGTCCAACATCAAACCAAAAATAGCAGATAATCATCAAGACCAAACAGTGTTGACCATCACATTGATATTTATACAAAAAATTACAAGTTGTTGGTCATTGTTTCTTTTGTTACTTGATGCTTTGAATTATGTGAATGTTTTTCTCCAAGTTCTTGTTAATAGTGCTTGGGATTTGTTTTGTTTTGTCCCTTTTTAATAAAATGTTGTTACGTTGGGAGTGGGTCTTACCATATACTCAGGGAGGGATGTGGGGAACAGGGGGCGCCACCTGAAAAAGGTTGGAGACCCTGGTCTTGAGAGTACTGACTGGTCTGTACAAATAATATGTCTACAACCTTTAACAGGCAAACTTATAAACGGAATAATGTGATTTTATGTTATGCTCAGACACTGACAAAGTCTGCAAAGGAAACATTCAGTTATCTTACAAACAGACAATGAGGGGAAACAAAACAGCCAGATATGTGGTGTCTTTTCTTCTGCCTTTCTACCCACCCACCCACCCCCCCCCCACCCCCCACCCCCCCCCCCAATGGAGCATAGGCCCTCAACCAACTCATGCCAAGTCGTTCTATCCTTCGCTATTACATGGAACTCTCACCATGCCCTCCCCATCTTTCTAACTTCATTCTCCAGCTCTCTTCTTGATGTGTTTTTTGGCCTTCCTTTATTCCTATACCCCTGTGGGTTCCAATGCAAAGATTTTCTAGTTATGCTGTTCTCCAGTTTTTTCAATGTGTGTCCTATCCATATGTAACAGAAATGCTGTGCCATGCACTAGAGAGATCCCAGGTTTGGCGGATTGGCGGTCTAGGGGAAACCAAACCGTATGGAGCAGTGGAAGACATGTGTTGCACCACCAAATTCATAGAGGCCTGTGACCTTCTCATTAAAAATAAAACACGGGCAGGGAAAAGAAGTAGAGTCAAAAATAGAAGCCCTGAATTACTTGATTTTCTGTTAAGATTACTTGTTCTTTTTTGTGCGTGTCAATGTTTGCTTATTCTGCTAGGCATCGCAGTTCATCAGATGATTGGCAGCCGATCCAGGGCACCCTCAGTCATTTGATATGCCATGATGTTATTCAGTCTCAAGGTGCCAGTCACTCCATCAATCCATAATTTTCTGGGTCTTCCCCTGCCTCTTGTTGTTTTGATTTTCGGGTTGTACACTCTTGCTGCTGGCGTCATTGGTTTCATTCTTATTAGAATGCCAAACCATTTAATTCTTTGTTTCTCAATAAATTTAACGATGTGTGTTGTTCCAACAGTTTTTGTGATCTCATCGTTTCTCGCTCCATCTCTTCTGGTTTTATTCACAGCCATTCTCAAACATCTCATTTCACCGGTGGTGAGTTTTAATATCATGTTCTTTTGTCAATGTCCAAGTCTGACACTGGTAACCGAAAGTCAGTATAAATATTGTATTTATAATTTGTCTTTTTGTCTCTATTTGGATAGCTGAGTGTTTTAAAACTGGAGCTAGTTGGTAAGTGACATTGTTGGCTTGTTGGATTCTTGTTTCTCTCTCTCTCTCTGTCTATTTTACCATTGCGTGTAAAGATGCTTCTCAAGTATTTAAATTCTTGCACTTGTTTCAGACCTTGATCTTTGATCTTTAAGTCGATGGTTTGTTGCTCTCTACTTATTAAAGGCAACTGTTGTATAGGTGGTTTTGTTTACAATTAGTGTGAGACCTGTTCTCGAGCCCTGTTTGTTGTTATGTTTGATGGATTTCCTAATGTCAAATACAGTTTCTAGAGCAGTATTTGTGTATGAACTTTTAAAATCCATTGCCAATCTGTTAAGGCATTGAAGATAAGGTAAGAAGTTGAATCACTCAACATTCTGTGAGATATATAGCAATATTTTTGTTTGTTTGTCCACAGTTGAAAGCAAGTCACAAGAAATCGGAGTCTGAAACATCCTCCTCCTCCTCATCCTCGTCATCATCATCATCATCGTCATCATCGTCTTCTAGCAGCAAAGATTCAAGCTCGGATAGTGATGGCAGCTCTGATGATGATAGAAAGAAAGATCATTCCCAAAAGAAACAGAAGCATGAAAAGATCCAAGGGAAACACACAAAATCAAAAGATGAAAAACAGATAGGCAAAGAAAAGAAGAAAGATCTAAAGAAAAAGAAGGAGAAAAGTGATAGCAAGGAAAAGCAAAAGGGTGAAATTGAAAAACAACATGATAAAAGTAAAAAGCACAAGGATAAAAGTGAAAAGAAAAAGGACAAAAAGAAAAAGGATAAAACTGAAATACAAGATGATGAGAGCAAAAAGAAAGATGAAAAAAAGAAAAAGAAAAAGGATAAAACTGAAGAAATTCAAGAGAATAAAAGTGAAAAGAAAGATGACAAAAAGAAAAAGGATAAAACTGAAAAGCAGAAGGCTAAAAATGAAAAGAAAAAGGATAAAAATGAAAAACATGATAAAAATGAAAAACAAGTTATAAGTAAAAATCACAGTGAGAAGCTTTTAACTGGTGTTGAGGGTAAGAAAAAAGAGAAGATTGACAAATCTGAAAACGAAAACACTTCCCACAAACAGAAAGGCACAAATATTCAGGAAAACCAGTCCCATAAAGATAAGCGGCAAGAAGAAGATAGTGGTGATCGTGAGAGAAAAGGCAGCAAATCAGATGAGGATAGTGATGATGAAGGGCTTGATGGCAGTGACGATTCCAATGAAGGTTCTGAAAATTCTGAAGATGAGCTACAAGAAGTGCCAGTGTTTTATAAATAAACATTTTTGGGGGGTTTAAAAAAATTAAAAATTAAAGGACTTTTTCTTTATTTTAGCATTAACCAGCTGTAAACTCTGGCGGAAAATTCTGGTTGTTCATTCACTGCTGGACTTTAAGTCTTGTTTCAGAACTTGAGTTTTGTGTGCACATCCATTTGACAGATCTGGCTTTTTATGTGCAGACTGTTGGTTGCACTCTGATTTAGAAACACTCCTTATGAATTATCTCCTATGACATGCTTGTTAAGGAGGCAGTGGGTCAGTTCGTTTTTTTGTTTTGTTTTTTTTTAAACACTAAATGTAGCCCTGGAACCCACACGAGAAGTTAAAGGACCATTTTGATGTCTTTGACGCATCAGATGTCTGGTGTCAGATCTAATTTTTCTAGACCGATCAGCCCTGGATGAGTGATGTGGTCAGTGTCATTCATCATCATCATCATCAGTTCTCGTTATGCCTGGTGGCACATGAGGCTTCAGAGAGGACTTTCCATGCTTTCCTGTCCTGTGCAATCTTCAGTGCAGTTTTCCATGTCAAAGATGCCGCACTCAGGTCACTTTCCATCGTTCGTCTCCATGTTGTTTTTGGGCGCCCCTGTCCAGAAGCCAATTCTTAATTTGGTTTTGACATCCAGCAGACTTGTTTTCCCATCATGGGCTTCAGTGTCATTCTAGGCCACATTTATTTCCTAGAACATTCCCCCATTTTATGCTGGGTAGACCTGGGAGCTGATGACAATATTGAAAAAAAAATTTTCCTTGATGCAGATTTTAACCAAATACTTTCAAACTGGCAGGCAGGTGATCACATGGTTAATCTTAAACATCCTTTGGTGATATGTACAGTGTAGCTAGAAACAATGTAATTTGTGTATAATTTATAGGATTTCTGTTTTATGCTTGATTATTTTTTGATGTAACCTCAGTAATGCACCTGAAGAGATACATGACATACGTCAGACATTATATTATGCAGTACATTGTTTGTTCGGGAATCAAGAAACTTGAACAATGAACAGACAACTAGAACATCAAACTGAGTCTCTGGAAATGTGGATATAAAGAAGACCAGGTTGTATTTTATTGAAACCAAAAAAAAAAAACCAGTAAAATACAGAGATTCTGGATAAATGACAAGGAGGACAAGTTTAGGGGAAAAGGTAGACAATGCTACAAGTGGGATGACAACATCACTGCCAGAGTGTACAGCCAAGACAAGAGACAAAATTTGTTGGAGACCTATTGCAGCCACCCATCCAACTTTCATTGTGGAGCACTTAATTGACTGATTTGGGTAATTTCGTTTAAAAAAAAAAGGGGGAGGGGGCGTGTGTGTGTCCTACACCCATGATTCCCAAACTGTGCGCCACGACGCCCGGGGGAGCCACAACCTCTTCACAGGGGTGCCGCGAAATATTGTAAAAGCTTCATAATTAATTTAACCAAGACACAAACAGTCATACTTTTACTTAGGTTAGGGCGCCGTAGAAAAATTGTAACTGAAAAAAAGGGGCCGCGACCAAGACAAGTTTGGGAAACACTGTGCTAGACAGAAAACAAAAATGGATCTTCTTGGCAAGGATTCAAAGTGGGT